TATAACTGTGTATCCTCAATTAGAATAGATCCTTCATACAAAATAAGCTGTTGTTTTCTCTTAACTTGGTGGTATGTATCATTTTACCTCTTTATTCCTTAACGTGTTTATAAAAGATTAATACAAATGAACACAGATATTCTCTGAGGTTAAATTTATTCAGATCAAAAATGAGAATAATTTGGAAATCACAACTCAGTCACAGAGCTTCTGGTTATTTTCCTTTCTTTCATGTTAAGAAATACTGAAATATAGTGAGAGAAAGTGCCTTCCCATTCCCACTCCTTAAGGAACACATAAGTTAGGAGAAATAAAACTAGTATCTTATCCAGGCTTTTATAAAAGGGTTAATCAGTGAATGATTTTTATAAAACCAAAAAAAACTGAACTCACTGCCGTTAAGTCGTTTTACGACTCATAGCGACCCCTCCTTGTGTTTCTGAGGCCATATCTCTACGGAAGTAGGTTGCCCAACTTTCCTACTGAGGAGTGGCTGGGTCAAGTGTATATTGACCCTATAAGGAGCTCTGGTGACATAGTGGGTATGGCATTTGCTTGTTAACCAGAAGGTCAGTGGTTGAAACCTACCAGCTTCTCTGTGGGAGGAAGATGAGGCAATCTCCTTCCATAAAGATTTATAGGCATAGAAACCCACTGGGGTCACTATGAGTTGGAATCAACTTGACAGCAATGAGTTTGATTTTTTTGTTTTGAGTGTATATTAAACATCTGCAATTTACATATAAGATAAATTATATATCATAGGTAGGTAGATAGACAAATTGGCAGGCCTATCTGCTATATTTACTATTTTTTCATAAAATTTACAACTTACGGAATTGTCTTGAGGAAGACCATTTACAGCTTTGTAATAAAATGATGACGTCCATTTGCCATATTTTTCAAAGATATTAATTTAAAATAGAATCTTACCAAGAATAAGCTGTCTCGGATTTGCTCTTCAGTATCTTAAGGTTAAGCTTATTTTCTAGTCATGCTATAAACAGGAAAAAAATGCATGTAGTCCCAAGGCAAGTTCACAGTCACTGATTCTACTTTGTAGCTCAGGAAGCTACTTGGCATGTGCATGTGATATATTTTATCTAGAGCACTGCTTGATTTTTTTTAAATGTCTTTGCATCTAGTGATGTCAATGCATGAGCTGCTAACAACCACTGTGATTCCTCATAAAGTTAAACGAGTTTTCCTTTTTTAAACTAAATATATGGATTTATCTTTTAGATTTCCACATAGAAGAGGCACTTGATTGGCCTGGAGTATACTTGCTACCAGGCCAAGTTTCTGGTGTGGCTCTGGACTCAAAGAACAACCTGGTGATTTTCCACAGAGGTGACCATGTTTGGGATGGAAAGTAAGTAATATTTTTTTCTTCAAAGAATAAAGGAGAATGAAAATAATATGCATTGCTTTTCATTGAATTAATAGTAATGGTGAGAGAACTATAAAGGCTCTTTTTAAACTTGATTTTTGTGAAGAAATCATATTTGTACTTTTAGTATGACTGCTATAAGTAAAAGAGAGGAAAGAAGTCTTGTGCTTTTTACAACAATTAATATGGTTTTACCAACTCTTTTATGAAAGAAGACAGTAACAATCTGTGATTCTGCCCATGTACTGTTCTACTCCCCCAATCCTGAAGCTGCATCCCATTTCTAAGGGAAATAGTAATTGTCAGAATTGATTCAATACGTTGCTGAAGAGTTTTAAGATTTCAAAGAAAGTGCTTTAGATAAGCACTCAACTAGGAATGGTTACTGGTAGACTGTAATAAAGCACTTTGTTATTTACATGTACCGGGAGCAAAGGATTGTCAGGCTATTAGACTGTCACTTTTCATCAGACTGCTCCATGGCAGTGTTACCATTAGACTTCTGGAGATCAGATTGGAGCAGATTGGCCTCCACCACCTAGGAAGAAGTAGTATCTTGTCCTATGTATTTTAATATAGATTAATTTTATTACTCAAATTTTCCCTTTTCATGAGCATCAAAGACTTAAGAATAACACTAAGCCACTTGCTTAGTCTTGTCGAGTTGACTCTGACTCATTGCCAACCCTGTGTGTGTCAGAATAGAACCGTGCTCCACAGGGTTTTCAATGGCAGATTTTTCAGAAAGAGATCGCCAGTCCTTTCTTCCAGGTTGCCTCTGGGTAAACACAAACTGCTGAGCAGCCAAGTGACTGTCTTAAATCCTTGCTATTCCTCTGGTTTTCCCTTTCTAATTTTTCATTCTATATTCTACCACTTTTCTTAAATTTTTAGTAAAAACGTCTAACATTTATTGAGTGCTTTCAGTGGACTTCTCACTGTTCTAATGTGTACATAAAATACCTCAAAATACTTGGACATTGTCATTATCATCATCATTCACATTTTACAGATGAAGAAATCAAAATAATTATTTTGCCCACAGTCTCACTGTTAACAAGTATTAAAGCGAGCTATCAATCAGTATATTTTTGTCTCACTTAACCACTTTGTGGTACTGCCACTTATAGGATTGTAAGTGCATCTTAGAATTCACATGATAGTATTTTAAATAGCTTGCTCCAAAACTGAATATGTTATTTTAACTCTAAAATTCAGCACATTATTTTAATTCTCCTAAGTTATGAATATCTATTCACTCGTTTTACTATAAACATGAAGGTATAATATTAAATATTTTATCAATTAAATCTTTCAAGTGTACAACTATAGGGTCTCATTTGGAAAAACGAAGAACTATAACTAAATTGTTTTCGCCTCATTTTCAGAGATGTTGATTAAACTTATGCTAAATTCACTCTGAGGCATATATGTATGTAGTTTTCTTTGTGCAGTTGATGATAAGACTTAATCAACATTTCAAAATAGATTGGTAGCTTTGTTACTGTTTACTTGTCCTTTCCAGTTGTCACCCTTGCAAATAGTCTTAGAAAGAGATCATTTCAGAGTTCAAAGGAAACAATCAAACTCAGCATTTTCATTCATATATCTATGTTACATCATCTTAGTTATTATTGAACATCTAATGTCATTTTAACAAGTGCTTTTAAAAGCAAATGATTACTATTCATTATAGCATATTCTTCATTTTAATGAGCATTGCTACATTTTCTGCATGGATTTCTAGCCACATTTTACCAGAAAAGAAAATTACAGCATCATTTTCTCCCATTGATACTGTTTCAGCTGGCTAAAGCTAAATTGAACAAGGTCCAGTTTTCCACTTTAATATGATATGTATTGCAAATAAACAACAGAAGCTTGAATCATATAATAGAAAAAAGAATCAGTAAAGCCAGCTTGAGGTAGGAGGCTTAGTACTGTGAACCAGGAGCCCCATATGAACATTTTCTGTGGCTTATATATCAGTCCTTGCTGAAGACTTGCTTTTTTCCTGGCATCTAGCTTTCATCCAGACAACCAGTATCATGTGTAAGTAGTCCAGTTTCATTGCCAAAGCTCTGGTGTATTTTCCCTGATAAACGGCATCAACAAAGAAGTGTTAAAAATGCAAGACTTCTTCAGAGCAGATGTGCTGATTTTTCTCTTTAAATCTCTGTTTGTTCTTTCTCCTTCATCTTTATCTTTCAGATGTGAGAATACCTATTATCTCTCTTCCCTTCTATCTTTCTGCTATTGCCTGTTGGCCTTTAGCAGCCTTTGCAATCTGTGGTTGTGAGGAAATTTTCTTCTCACTCAGATCTCTGTTTCAGCCCCTCTCTGTTTTATTATTCATGAAGAGAATTAGAAATGGATAACTCTTTTGGTTATTCTTTTTGTAAAATATGTGGGCTCTGTTCTTTGAACTGCCATGCAAGACCATCCTTCCTTCATATATGTAAGTCACATCATTTAAGATAAGAAAAATATGTGTATTTTCATCATAAAAAATCCAAGGATTGAACAAAGACCAAGAAAGCACCTTCCTGCAGCATGTACAGTTTGCTGGTGAGAGAGAATGGAAATTAGAGAGATTGGATAGAAATTGTATTTTTGCTGCTACTGCAGTTAGGATAGAGTAGTAAGAAATCTTGTTTTAATTTTCCTTGGAATCTTTCCCACCAATATAACTCTCAGCTTCACAGAAGTATAGCTGTAAAAGGCCAGGGCTTGTTCTAAATCAAACCTTAGCCCTCTATATCCCATAGTTCTTAGGTGGTGATCTTTAAGTATCTATCTATCTATATTGATATATGGATATATCCATATAGCTATAGATACAGATATTCTTGGAGTTAATAAGTTCTGATTAATGCTTAGTACCCAAAGATCAATTGATGTCTTTACATCAACTCTCTATAAATACTGTTATTCTTAATTCATAACTTATAGGTCTGATCAGCCCTTACTCTTTTATTTAACCATGATAAATAAGCATGGCAACCAAAATAATAAGAAGCATCCACTTAACCATCTCAGAGGAGCCCTGGTGATGCAACAACCAACACATTCAGCTCTTAACCAAAAGGTTGGCAGTTCAAACCCACCAGCCACTCAGAGGGAGAAAGATAAGACAGTCTACTTCTGTAAAGATTTACAACCTTGGAAACCCTATGTGGCAGTTCTGCTCGATCCTATTTTCCTCCCCTTCTATCCCTTCCTTTGTATGTCTGCTTTAAGAAGTATTTTTTTACCTGAGCAGGAAATGCCTAATACCAGCAGATTTTGATGAAACTTTAAGGACCTTCTGGTGTTAGGACAAAATCGACTAGATGGCAGTGGGGTTTTGGTTTGGTGTTAGGACAACATGGCAGCTTGAGCTTCTTAAAGTTTATATGCCTCCCAGCAAGATCTGGGTAGCTTTCACCTCAGTAATACCTGTTCCTGGGTTTCTGTCTGAACATAGCCATCACTATCAAAGTCTTGGGAGCTCTGGTAGCATAGTGGCTAAGGCACTTGACTGCTCACCAGATGGCTGGCGGTTCAAACCCATCAGCCACTCCTCGGAAGGAAGGTTGGGCAATCCTACTTCTGTAGTGATACTGCCTCGGAAACCCAAGGAGGGGTCGCTATGAGTCAGGGCTGACTCGACGACACATAACAACAACAACATCATCAAAGTCTTGCCTCTTGGCTGTTCTTTAATTTATCTCAGCTTTGGCTGGGGTGCTACCGTGCAGGACCCAATCACACACCCACTAAACTAAACTGTGAATCTTGTCCCTAGGTTTTAGAGTTAGAAGTTGTTGTCCTTTAAGTCATTTATTATCTTTTCACATGGAGTTGGAAGGGATTTAGGAAATTGTATCACTTCATATTCTTTCTGTTACCAGTAAGACAAAGACCCATCATGAACTAGCTTAAAGGAAAAGAGAATTTATTAGTTTGTTTAAATGATGACAACACCAGAGAATATGATAGCCCAAATAATATCATAAATACCCATTTTTCAACCCATTTTATCCTGGTTTGCTCCATTCACAGGTTTTGACTGAAGATGCCCCCACCTTTACCTCCTGCCCCTGCTGTTTCAGAATCATAGCACTAGTCCAAATTGATAACAGGTCAACAGATAATCCTGAAATTAAGTCTTTTTACCATTATTTAGTGTGACTAGGTCATGCTTTGGGAGCTCTGATAGCATAGTGCCTAAGGCACTTGACTGCTAACTAGAAGGCTGGCAGTTCAAACCCACCAGCCACTCCTCGGAAGGAAGATGGGCAATCTACTTCTGTAGTGATACTGCCTCAGAAACCCAAGGAGGGGTCGCTGTGAGTCGGGTCCAACTCGACGGAACATAACAACAACAACAACAACAGGTCATGCTTCTGTCGTTGAACCTATGATTGTGAATAAAGGAATGAAATCCACACTGTAAATTAGCCTACATCCTTTTTTGCACTCCGGAAATGGGAGAGTGGAGTCAACATCATCTAAAGAAAATGGCATGAGAGTGGGGCTCAGAATGTTGTGTCCGTTAATGAAATATTGAGGTTCCATTGACACAAAATGGAAGAGTAGACATTGGGTATCCAGAACAGCATATGGCCTCTGAAGAGCTCATCTCCAGTCTTCCACCTAAAACAAACATCTCTTCTGCAACATCTTCCAGAGATATCCAACACCTGAATTTTTTCAGTGCCAAGAAATTTCCTCCATGTATGACACACCATTCAGTTGTGAGACTAATCTAGATGTTAAGTTCTTCATTATATTAAACCCAAATCTGAGTCCTATCACTCCAACTTTGTGAAAGAATAATGCAGGATGAATTTTCTCCCATCTTTTCATGTCAGTTAATTGCATATTTTAAGAAAATCTTCCAGAATGTTTAGTCTGAGATGTATTCTTCATACTGGTTACTTTCATCTGAAGTGACTCTGATTTTCAGCCCTTTGAAAAGTTTGGTACAGGAGTGGCCA